GGTCATATGCTTTGCTTCAACTCCTCCCAGCTCCTCCCTGTCTACCCAAGTTCATGTTCTCTCTCTCAAAACAAAAGCAAAAACAAAACAAAAAAATCAGTAAGACAAAAATTACCTCCTCAAATCTCCCACAAAAACAATCAAACAAACACCATAGAGTCGGTTTTGTGTTCACTACATGGGTGTTTTAATTGTCAAGTTCTGTCAGTTGCAACAGCATGGATGAGTCTTGCTAAGTGGAATAAGCCAAGTCCAGAGGCGTGCCTATCGCACGATCTTGCTTATCTGTGGAATCTAAGAGTCAGGCTTATGGAGATATAGAGTGGAACAGAAGTTCCCAGAGCACAGGGGTGGGAGTGGGGACATGGGGATGGGGGTGGTGAGGACCAACTACAGCAGCACAGAAGGCAAATGTCCTGGGGTTCTGTTACCACAGGCTTCAGCGGCTTTTGTTTGTTTGAGATACGGTCTCATGCAGTCTGGGCTGGTCTTTGGCTCTTGAAGTTCTTTTTATTTGTCTTTTCTCTTCTCTTCTCTTTTCCTTCCTCTCTGTCTGTCTGTCTGTCTGTCTCTCTCTCTCTCTCTCTCTCTCTCTCTCTCTCTCTCTCTCTCTCTTGGAGACAAGATCTCTCTATGTAGCCCTAGTTGCTACTTGGCCTGGAACTCACTCAGTAGATCAGGCTGGCCTCAGACTCACAGAGATCCACCTGCCTCTGCCTCACAAGTACTGGGATTTAAGGCGTGTGCCATCATGCTTGGTTTGTGCAGCTCCAGGTGTCGAACCCCAGCAACTTCTCTACCATTTGAGCTACACCCCAGCCATAAAGTTAAGAGTGTACTTTAAACCATGTAGTTTTAAACAGCTGAAAGAAGGCAGACAAGATGGCTCAGTGGGTAGAAATGTTTGCAGTGCAAGCACGAGAACCTGATTCTGATCTCCAAAGACAATGGTGCAGGCAGGAAGCCTACTTCTGAAAGTTATCTTCGGGCTGCACATGAGTGCTTTTACACACACACACACACACACACACACACACACACACACACACACACACCCCATAATAATAAAGTTAGGGAATAAAACAGCTAAAGAAACTATTTGAATTGTTCTCATCAGAAAGCAACAGTAACCATTTAATGTGAGGGACATGCTAATGACTCGAAGTTTATTATTCTGTGATATTTACAATAATGAAAAATGACACTGTAATCCATAAATAATTGTTTATGTGTCAATCAAAAATCAAACAAAGTTTGGGACTGAAAGTGTAGCTCAATTATGAAGTGTTTGCCTAGCAGGTGGGAGACCCTGGGATTCTGGGGACCATACCTCCAAAGTAAAATGAAAACCTAAAGGACTAAAAGTTCCAACAAAGAAAGGGTGAGCGGATGGTTCTTAAAAGCCCTTGTTACTGTTGCTATCAACTTCACTGTCCTAGTTATTAGTAGAACCAGGCACTTAGCTGAGCTCACAGGTGAGACCTTCTGTCACCTGTCACACGGTGTCATTTCATGTCATTCAATATCATCTCACTCCATCCCATCCCATCCCACCCCACCCTATTCCACCCCATCTCATCCCCTCCCACTCCAGCCCCTCCTAACCCATCCTCAGGATCTTCCTAAGATGATGAAACTGAGGCTTTGGGGACAAAAGCAACTCCCCATGGTCTAGCTAGGGAGGTGCAAAGTTAGAGTCATCTGGCAGGAGAGGATGGCGTCTCCATGGAAACAAGGGCCTTTTCACCTTCTTGTTTGGAGCTACAAGCTGAAGGTCTTATTTGGCTTCTCCATGGTTTGACAGTGGAATTCAGGAGGCCCTGGTGGTTAAGGAATCTTCTCTCGATCCACTGAACATCCTCCTTTGACTCCAGGCTCCTCCTGCTGTCCCTGCCTGCACTTCTGAGTCCCTGGGAGCCTGGGAGCTTTGGCCCCTGATGGGAGAGGAAAGGGCTGGAGGTTCTCAGTGGGAGGATCACCAGATCCCTCTCCTGAGCCCACAGGAACACATTGACCCTGTCAAGTGGCCAAGGGACCTGCTGGCCAGCTGCTATTAGGCACCTGTCACCATCCAATGCTTCTTGGGGGTCTAAGATTCAATTTTGGGGGGGGTAGAATGATAGGTCATAGTTTAAGAATATTTACTGTGCAATCACAAGGACTGGAATTCAAATCCGAGCACCCATGTAATGAGCCAAGCATCCTGTAAATGCCTATAACTCCAGCTCCACGGGGTCCAACATGATCTGGCTTCTTTGCTTGCACAGAACCTCACACCCGTACAGGCATGTGCACCCAAACACACACACATGTGCATATACGAACACAGACACACACATTTAAATAAATAAAACACATCTTTTGGGGTTTGAGAGGTGGCTCAGAGGTTAAGAACACTGGCTGGTCTTCTAGAGGTCCTTAGTTCAATTCCCAGCAACCACATGGTGGCTCACAGCCATCTGTAATGAGATTTGGTGCCCACTTCTGTCCTACAGGCATACATGCAGACAGAACACTAATATATAAATATAATAAATAAATAAATAAAATATAAATATAATAATAAATAAAATCTTTTTAAAAACCCACATCTTTTACAGAAAGATTCAATACTACACTTACTCTCCACCCAAAAGCCAAGAAGCTGTAGGGCCTGAGATCTCAGGTATCAAAGTAATACATCCCTAAATCAAAGGCACACCTACTTAATTCACACCACCATCAAGTCAAAGCTAGGTGAGAACCAACTCCCAGATCCTGTGATGCCAATAAGCACTGGGCTTTTTTGTTGTGAAATTTCTTTATTCATAAATTATATAATCAAACACTTACAGTGTCCTCTGATCATATGTGAGCTTAAAAGGTCATCACCTATAGATATGTTATTTCCTTTTGCTTTCTTAAGTATGCTTTTGGCTTTTTTTTTTTTTTTTGGTTTTTCAAGACAGGGTTTGTCTATATTGCTTTGGAGCCTATCCTGGCACTCACTCTGTAGACCAGGCTGGCCTCGAACTCACAGAGATCCATCTGCCTCTGCCTTCCGAGTGCTGGGATTAAAGGCATACACAACCAAGGCCCAGCTTGCTTTATGGCTTTTTAAAAACATATGTTTAGAGGCTGGAGAGATTGCTCAGTGGTTAAGAGCATTGACTGATCTTTCAGAGGACACAAGTTCAATTCTCACCATCTACATGGTGGCTCACAACCATGTGTAATTCTGGCTCCAGGGCAACCGGTGCCTTCTTCTGACCTTTGTGGGCATCAAGAATACACATGTTGCATAGACATACATGGAGGCAAAACACCAAACATGTAGAGTAAAATAACACATATTTAGCTTTCTGAACAATTTCACTTTTTTTTTTTTTTGGCACCAGCTCTTCTTTCTACCATCCAGTTTGTTCTGTGAGCCTGTGTTTGCTGGTCAGTGGCTGAAACCTCCTGCTCAGAGTCTGCCTCTGGACCATCATTCTGGACCATCTGATCCTAGCAGGATACCGTGTCCTCTGGGTTGGGAGAAACACACTATTTTTACTCTGCTCTCATTTTAATCAACACAGGAGCAAGGCCTTGCATGTTTCTTATTTCAGATTCCACCGCTTGTCGTCTGAGGTCCCATTTTCCAGATGAAGAAACTGAAGCTCAGAACAGTCAACTGATGCACCCATGACTACATTTTTAGAGTGGGAAGGCAGGCTTTTCCATCTGCTATCCTGGGGCGGGAGGACCACAGAGGGGCAGGAGGCAGGCTGTAGGAAGGGACTAATGAGTAGGTTTATTTCTGGGTTAAGACCGACCATGTCTCTAGCTCTCACGTCACAGGAAGACCTAGGCCCTTCTGTAACTAGCCCCTGGTGTACCCACTCTGCCCAGGAAGTGAGGGTAGAATCAATAGGAGCGTAGTCATTATTTACTGAAATAATATTGGACTTACTTGGGTTGTAGCTTGAAGGTGGGGGTATAAGTCTTCAAAGAGTGACAGTTGACATCCTAGAGTTGGTCCTGCTCCAAGGTGATGGTTCCATCCTGGGAGGGTCATCAGGTCACAGAGAGTCCTTAGAGGCTCTCACAGAAAGGGAGGGTAGGAGAGAAAGGGTGGGGCAAGATGGAGTAGCCCAGACGGACTCACCAGTTAAATTGGCAGCAGAGAGCAAGAGGTGCCATGAGAACCCAGCGCACGCTCCAGCCTGCAGGGCAACCTGATTAGCATTGGATTCTGCTCCCAGATACACCCCCTCTGTGGAGTGATCTGGATACCTCTGGGGAGGAGGGGGAGAGGTGAAAGGGTTTCTGGGCTCTCCTGCCTCTGAAGGTGTCCAGTGCTGGCTTTTGGCAGGTGTTCCCATCTCTGAACACCTGCCAGTGGGCACACCTTGGAAGGTGTGATCTCTCCTGAAGGTTTGGGCTGAAGGAATTCTTCCTGCACCCTGAGATCTTGTTGGAACCAGATTCCCCCACAGGTATTTCCCCATCTCCCCAGCTCTCTGTGCTGCACTTGAGGAAGCCAGTCATCATGGCCACAAGGTGAGTCGCCTGTCAAGGGTCATGGACACAGTCCCTGTTATGCACCAGATGCCCTTTGGATGCCGGTGGCTCCACTTTAAGTGTGAGGGATCTCTAACTGTTCCAGGGGACCCAGATGGCCACCCAACTTGCGGCAAGTCTCTTGCTTTCCTGGTGAGAGTGGTCACAGGTCTCACCTCTAATGTCCTATGACATACAGTTGGACCGCTCTACTGAGTCCCAGTTTCTCATCTTGAATGGGGACCATGTGGGAAGGAGCCTGGAGGAGAGTCATATGCTTCCCTTCTGAGGGAATGGCATCTGTGCCTTGCTTGCCACCTGCATCCACAGCTCAGGCCATGTTGCCATCAGTAGCCTGCTGTAGAGAGGGAAAATATCACAGGACATGGTGGAGTTCTTGGAGCTGAATGGGGCCCAGGCTTCAATGATTGGAAGAGACTGGGTCCAGCGAGCTGTCCTTTCTAGGATGCCAGAACTGTGCCCAGAGAACACCTCAGCTGGAGTCTCAGGGATGAGCACTCGCCCTGGGGACCCAAAGGAACAGCTGGGAGCTGCAGGAAACCTGTGGCCATCAGAGCCCATCATCCTGGGACGAGAGGGATCTGCCCGGGAACTGGTCCTGAGGAAGATCCAAGAACTCTCCATCGAGGTAAGGAGAGAGGGTGAGCCCCACCCCTCCACTGCTGATACCCAAGAAGGTTTCCCGTTTCCAGTTTGGGGGCCATCAGACTGGGGTTTCCCAGGGCCTGTGCTGGGGTCATGAGTGAGCTCTGCTGGCCTTTATGTTCCCTTCTTTGGCACCCAGGTTTACCCTCAACCAAGCCACTGCCAGGGACTGAAGCCATCTGTCTCTGGCCTTGGTCTACAGATAGTGACCTCCCTGCACCTCTTTTAAGAGATAAAAAGACCAGCTCAAATCCTTTCTTTGCCGTACATGGCGGTACACTTCTTTAATGCCAGAACTCAGAAGGCAGAAGCAGGTGGGTCTCTTAAGTTGGAGGCCAGCCTGGTCTACACAGCAAGTCTAGGACAGCTGGAGTTACATAGCCCCTGTCTCAAAAGACAAAGTTAAATTAAAACAATCAAATTCCTTCTATCAGATTCTTGCTGCATGACCTTAAGCCACTTAATTTTTTAAGCTAAGTCTTTGTTTTCCCCAGCCTTTGAAAAGGGAGAAATACCAGTCAGTGGTGAGTTCGAGGCCAGCCTGGTCTACAGAGCAAGTTCCAGGACAGCCAAGGCTACACAGAGAAATCCTGCCTCAAATAAAATAAAATAAAATAAACAAAAAAAATCCTGCAAAGTGAAATGGAAGGAAGGAAAAGAAAATTAGAGGAACAATAATGCTTTTGTCAGGGGCTGGAGAGATGGCTCAGAGGTTAAGAGCACTGACTGCTCTTCCAGAGGTCCTGAGTTCAATTCCCAGCAACCACATGGTGGCTCACAACCATCCGTTATGAGATCTGGTGCTCTCTTCTGGTGTGCAGATATACATGAAAGCAGAATGTTGTATACATAATAAATAAATAGAATCTTTAAAAAAATAATGCTTTCGTCATAGACTGAAGAGGACTCCAGGACCTAACCCTCTCCCCACCTCCCTCTCTTGTTCTTGCCCTAACAGGGCCGCCAAGATCCCTTCATGGTGCTTGACCTGGATGTGCTGGTCAGCTGCCATCAGACCTTCCTCCAGGCCCTGCCCCAAGTCCAGCCTTTCTACGCAGTGAAATGCAACAACAGGCCCTGGGCACTTCGAGTCTTGGCTGCCCTGGGCACTGGCTTTGACTGTGCCAGCCAGGTGAGCCTGTACCAGCTTGTCAATCACCTCTCCGTGGGCCTGCCACCTTCTGGAGAAACACTGCCCAATGGTCAGGAGATCAGGGGTGGGGACTCTAGTCCCCAAGATGGTGGCTGGCATGTTGAAGGTGCAAGGCTTTTTGTTGTTGCACTGGTAGTTTTTATTTGTTGAGTCTAATGTAGTCCAGGTTAGTTTAGAATTCACTACACAGCCGAGAGTGACCTTGAACTTCTGGTCCTCCCACCTCTATCTTCCCAGTGCTGAGATTACGGGCACAGGCCACCAGTTTACTAGGTGCTGAGTGGACCCAGGACTTTGTGCATGCTATGTAAGCACTCTACCAACTGAGTAGTAGCTTGGATGCTTTTAAGTGAATAAATGAGCAAATTGCTGTGGTCAGCCTTGCATGTGGTTATGTGACAAGACCAGGTAACCTGAACTAGGGAACCAGGTCCCTTCCTGGCATAGCCAGTCACCCTTTTGAGCCTCAGTTTCTCCCTGTTTAAAACGGGACCAACACTCAATAAAAATGATTACACGACAGCTCCTAGGTATGGATTGAGGATAAGGTTTTATTGTAGACCTGAAGAAGGGAACAGCCAGAGGCATCCGAAGAGTCCAGACTGAACGTGGCCAGCAGAATAGACTGGACCACGAGAGGCAGGGAGGGGGGAGTGAAAGAGGAAGAGAAGACAGAGAGAAGAGGAGGTCAAGAGGACCAAGAGGGTGCATGGGAAGCAGACGGTCACAAGGACAAAATGCCTGAGTCATAGGAATAAGAAGCTGGGGGAAGAGAAGCAAAGCCCAGCCCCCGGGTGGGAGAGTTCAGGGTAGGAGACAGGGTGAGAAATGCTGGGAGGGGCCACAGGTACTGAGTGAGACTTGTGCGGGGGGGGGGGGGGGGTTCTTTGGGACCTGATGCTCTCCCAATAAGGGACCTGGTTCCAGAATGGATTCATTGGAAGGGATCCCCACTAGTTCAGGCTAAGGTCCTGTCCCCAAAGAGTCAGGGAAGGCAGGAACAACAGGGCAGCTCCAATTCTGGCCTTCATCCATGCTAGGGGGAGCTGGAGCAGGTGCTGGGCTTGGGCGTGGCCCCCTCACGAATCATCTTCGCCAACCCCTGCAAGGCTGTTTCCCACATCCAGTATGCAGCCCGCTCCGGGGTGCAGCTTCTGACCTTCGACAGTGAGGAGGAACTGGCTAAGGTGGCCCAGCACCACCCTGGGGCTAGGTGAGATGGCAGCGGTACCACTGGAAACAGTGGGCCAAGGGATTCCAACAGATGGATCTGGACTTCAGCAACCAGGTAGCTGGTGGCTCCAAGAAAACCTCTGGGCAACAAGAGGGCCAGATGGCAGGCACAAGGGTTCAATCAAGAGGCCAGCACCTTCTTGGGAGCACATTAGTACCAAATAGACCTTGTCTCTACACCAGCATTGGACAGAGCTTGCCCTGAGGAAGTCTGGCATCCGTGATTTCATAGAAAAAGTAATTATTCTAGAGTCAGACCAAGGCTCACACTTCAGATTCATTAGCCATATGCTGTGTGATCTTAGAAAGGTTGTGTGACATTTCTGTTTGGTTTTTCAAAACAGGGTTTCTCTCTATAGCCCTGGCTGCCCTGGAACTCACTCTGTAGACCGGACTGGCCTCGAGCTCAGAGACCTGCCTACCTCTATTTCCCAAGAGCTGTGATTCTTTAGAAAGTTTAATTGATTCTATCCTACTTGATTTTGCCTGGCAAAATTCTGTAAATAACGTGTGTCTCCTCCTTGGTCTTCATGCTGGGTAGTTGGGAGCAACTAGGCAGGGACGGGTGGGAAGGTTGGAGGGCCTCAGGGTTCCTGGGTACCTACCTTCCTCCTCCTCCTCTTCCAGGTTAGTCCTTCGGATACAGACCCAGAACAGTCAAAGCACCTTCCCGCTGAATGACAAGTTTGGAGCTCGGTTGGAGGCATGTGAACACTTGCTCCAGGCTGCCAGAGAGCTGGGGTTGGCAGTAGTGGGGGCCTCGTAAGTGAGCACTGGCGTTTCCTGTCTTGATTTCTATTGCTGTCCCCAGGCAGCCAAGGACTCCCAGGGACACCTCTACTTTGTGGGTTTTCTAGGCCTAGAGGGTTTGAGGTTCTGATAGCCTAGGGGACAAATGGAAGTAAACATCAAAAACTTAACGCTCCAGATATACAACATTTTCAAACAGTATTTAAAAAAAATCAAAACAAATGCATAATCTCCAAGGTGAGAAAAATTGGAATTTTAAATGAAGTCAAGACTGATGTCGCTGATTTCCTTTCTTCCCTTGGGGTCTAATCACTTAACAGAGTAAGTCTCACTTGGAAATGTTTTACATATCATTCCTCCAGGAGATGTGCATTCATTTTACTCTTTAAGGGATTCTGAGCCCTGGGTGTGGGGACACACAGTTGTAATCCCACCACTCCAGAGGTAGAGGCAGGAGGGTGACAAAATCAAGAGCTAGCTGGACAATAGGAAACCCGATCTCAAAAAAAGAAGGGGGGGTGGGTGGGGCTGGGTCTAGGGACATAGCTCAGATGGTAATGTTCTTGTCTGGTGTATTCCCAATAAAACCAGGGTGGTTTGCACCCTGTAATCTCAGCGCTCCCGAGGGTAGGCAGAAGAGTGAGAAATTCAAAGTCATCCTTGTGTATATAACAAGTTGGAGGTTAGCTTGTGCTATATGAGATACTATTTTAAAGAGAGAGGGGGGAGGGAGAGAGAGAGGGAGAGAGAGACTGCTGCCACTTATGTGTTTTCATGGCCCTTACAATTTTTTAATTAAAATGTAATTAATTTTTTTATATTTACTTACGTGTGTGTGTGTGCTCGAGCACATGCACCTGTGTGTGTACATGCCATGGTGTATGTGTGGGGCTCAGAGGACAGCTTTTAGGAGCCTGCTTTCTTCTCTCACCATGTGGGGTTCAGGAACTGATCTCAGCAAGGTTTGGCGGTGAGTGCCTTTACTCTCCAAGTCATCAGGCCAGCCAGGCTTTGCCTGTGATGAGAAATCCTCACTCACCTCATCCCCTCTGACCTGAATTGGTTTCTCAGTTTATCTTCAGGGGACATTGGGTTGTGGGGTTCTAGCTAAGAGAAGGAGAGCCCCTTCAACAAAGGTGTCGGGAGTGGGCAGCTGGGGGAAAACACTACTTTGTAGCCCCAATTGGGTGACTATGGGATATGTGTGTCTGTGAAGACACCTGGTGTGACCAAGGACACATATACCTATGAGAGCTGAGTGGGCCAGTGTTGTCTTGTCACTGGCTGGCACTGCTTACAGCCCCTGGATGGGTTTTCCTCAGTGTATCTGTCCTCATATTGACTTGAATTTCCACCTGTGTGTCTTCCACACCAATGGCCACGATCAGCTTCCATGTGGGTTCCGACTGCCAGACATCCCAGAGCTACAGGCAGGCCATCGCCGACTGCCATAGTGTGTTTGAGATGGGCCGAAGGGCTGGCCACCACATGAGCCTCTTGGATCTTGGAGGGGGCTTCCCTGGAACTGAGGGCTCCAAAGCTAAATTTGAGGAGGTGAGAGGGATGGCCCCAAGGCATGAATGGCAGTCTGGGTGTAGCAGCTTGGGGTGAGGGGATAAGTGTGTGCGCATGCCTGTGTGTTTGTACATAGAACCTTGCATAACTGGGGATCTGTTTGCGGGTACTGTGGTTTGATTCTGACAGACATCTTCACCTGACGACATGTGTGGCTATGAGTGTGTCTGAGTATGTGCACCTGAGTGTGCCTGAGTGTGTTCACCTGAGTGTGCCTGAGTGTGTGCACCTGAGTGTGCCTGAGTGTGTGCACCTGAGTGTGTTCACTTGAATGTGCCTGAGTGTGCACACCTGAGTGTGCACCTTGTGTGCCTGTGTTCACCTGAGTGTGTCTGAGTGTGTGCACCTGAGTGTGCCTGAGTGTTCACATGAGTGTGTCTGAGTGTTCACCTGAGTGTGCACCTGAGTGTGCCTGAGTGTTCACCTGAGTGTGTCTGAGTGTGTGCACCAGAGTGTGTCTGAGTGTGTGCAACTACTTGCTATGCTTCTCTGCTCCCCCTGGAAGGTGAGGCCTTCCATAGGGTGTCATCAGAGTCTATCGTATCCTTTGGGATAGGGCCTGGGCCCACCCCTGTGTT